AGCTCTGTGGATCCTCCTGGATCTTCTGGACAATGATCTCCACAGCTTTGCGGTTCTGCTCAGGCTCTCCACTGATAGTGACCACACGTTCTTGCAGGTTGATGCCCTCAGGCTTTTGGGATAGCTGGACCCATGCTCCTGACTGCTCCATCACCGCCTTGACTGTAGCTCCACCTTTACCGATGATCAGCCCTGCTGTGCTGTTGGGGACGATCAGCTTGGCCTAGTGGGAGGGGCAGGGAGGATGGAGAAAAAAAAGGAAAAAAGAATCAAAGATTATTGCTCTGTGACAGAAGTTTTACCATAATCATAGCTAATCTGCATGTGCCAAATACAGGCAAGCACCTGTGCATCTCATCAAAATGACCCAAACAGAGAAATACAAGGACGAGATGTGCTCCTTGACTGGATAGTCAAGTCCACTAAAGTCATGAAGGAACAGAGACAAGGTAAAGAGAGTCTTTCTACAAGTGTGTACAGGTCAGTGTTACTGAGAACTGTCCTTAATGACACACTCTGTGGCATTATGATTACAGTGTATATGCATGAGAATGAACCTTAAAACCCTGTGGTGCAACAAGAAAATATAGAAATATGTTCTGGAAAGTGTTGATGAAAAATATTTTTATCATGCAGATATGATAAAATCACGCACGTTGTTAAGCTCAAGATTAGACTTTAAACGCAGGGTAAGCACTGAAAGAAATTTTGCCAGGAACTGCTTTTCAGAGGTGTCCTTGAGAAGGACAGGAGACAAAAAGAGCCAAAGAAAATATACAGAGAAAGAGAGAGTGCTCTGAGCCGAACCATGTTTGAATACAGAGAGAATGTGAAGAAGAGAGATCCTGATGCACTGTGTGTGTGTGTGTGTGTGTGTGTGTGTGTGTGTGTGTGTGTGTGTGTGTGTGTCCGCAGTGTAGTGACATCCTGAAAGAGAAACACATAATGAATAAAGGGATGGTTTTAAAAAAACAAAAAACATTTCTTTCCTATATAACAAAAACAAAAGATGAGAAAGAGACAAAGTGCAAATAGGTGAAAGAAACGGAGGAACAGGTACAGAGAGGCAAACAGAGTGGGAGGGAATGATGGGTGAGGAAGACAGCAAGAGAGATGGAGAGAGGGAGGAATTCTAAAGAGGCAACTTGTGTGAAAAAAATAACATCGACTCCCAGGGGTCAGCGTTGCCATGGAAACAGCTCCAGCATTCGAAGGGTACTGAAAGGGATCGAGCCGATCACACACACATACAAGCTTCATGTCTAAACACCGTAGCATATTTTCGTGCACATTTTCACATGTACAAATGTATTATTGTTATTACAGTATACCTCTCCATAATACTGCTGTATCGGGCAGTGAATGACATGATGCACAAATTATTTTACAGTTATTGGAGAATTGATCAATAGTACACTGCTCATCTATGGGAGTCCAAAGTGATTCCAATGCGACATTTCAGTCCAAATGATTTTATTTTATTATTGATTTATCTGTTAAAGTGATTATTTTACAATGCCTCTATTCAATATTTCATCTATTAAATGTCAGAAAATGTTAAAAATTCTTATCAGTCTAAAATAGAAATATATTCTATTTAAACTAATATAAATCATAAAAGCTGCAAATCCTCACATTTGAGAAACTTAAAGCAGCTTTGTAAAAATGAATTGATTAATTGACATATAATTGATGTCAACAAGTTTAAATGTTAATTTTGCCCAACTGTCCAGCCAGGATCAATATCAGGTACACAGATTTAGTTCTTTTTTTTTTTTTAAAGCTTTTTATGTGGACAGTCAGCACAGGGAGTGACAGAATATGTGGGGAAAGAAGAAGAGGACATGCTACAAGCATTCCCCAGCCAAGACTTGAACTGTGGATGCAGTTATGTGCCGTGTGCCTTAACCCTTCGGCCAATGGGACGGCACCAATTTTCACATTTTAACTGCGTTGAGTGAAAGCAAACTGCTCCTTTCAGGGTGGATTAAGTACCATGATGCTATTTCACTCAGTCAGTTAGCCAGTAATCAACAGCACAACCACCACTATGTTGTTGTGAACAGGTCCACACTAAACTTGTCTGAGTCCAAGTAAGTGCAGATCTGCCCCTCTTCAGCAACATACTCTGCTGCAGCACCAGCTCTTTGCACAGTAAACAGAACTGGACCCGAGGAAGTTCGAACACTCGACTGCAAACAAGGAGACACCTTCAGGACATGTTATTAACTTCTGCTGCACATTAGCGGCCTAGCAAATAAATGTGGGCATGTGTGAGTGTCATGCTTTTTCCTCATAGCATGGCTCCCACCATCTGCAGAGCGACTCTCGACAAACCTACCAACCACTACCTGCTGTTTGTCTGAATGACAAATATTGCTATTGAGGGCAGGAAGAGAAACTGCAGGCTGGAGAAACTGGAAAAGATAAAAAGACTTTGCCTTTAATAGAGAGAGAGAAAGAAAATAGGAGGATAAAGTAAAAGAGAGAAAGGGGTGGAGGGGGTGATCTATTCAACAGACTGTTCCTCTATAATAATAATAATAATAGTAAGGTCTAGACCTTACTTTGCAGTGTGTCTTGAGATGACTTTTGTGATTTAGCACTATACAAATAAAATTGAATGAAGAGATGCACTGTTTTTGGCTTTTCCATTCAGGGGGAAAAGAGAGCAAAACAAGAAAAGGAAACAGAACAATCCAAAAAGGAGAGGGATCAGCTTGCAATAAAAAAAAATGGAACGGCCATTCTATTTGCCTTCCCCATCTGACCCTCTCCTTTATCCTTTCCCCATCCCTCTGCTGCAGGTTTAAGCTGAACAATATCTGCATGAGACAGCCTCGATGCTCAAACTCTGCACCGCAGCTTTCTGCGAGGTTAGAAGATGAACCTACATAGAAACAGAAGATTAGCAAGAGTTATACAGGAGAGAGCTGGTAATAGGCGTGACTTCAAACCTGCAGACAGTGTCACATATTCACTCTTTGAGCTGAATATTAGAGCGTTATCTTTCCCCTGTGAGCGTCTGTTTGTGAGGCGCCTCTGTGGGATTTAACAGGTGTGATATTTTTGTTTTCCGTTCATTCATCTTTTTGCTCACAATGAGTGGAGGTTGGTAGTCTGTGTCTATTGATGTGGGAGAATCCTTCAGCCCCTTCAGGTCCTGCTGCTAACAGAGGCACTGCTACAATCTGCTGTCCTGTGTGGATTAATGAGAAGAGCTAACAGTGCTAACAAAGTGTGAACGCTGCCGGGGCTGAATGAGTCGGTCTTCTGTTCAGTTCATGAGGATTGGTCCATTCCTCAACTTTGCTTTTGTAACAGAAAGAACCTGACATAAATATAAGACCATTACTAAGGACTTATATAATCATGTGGCAGATGTAGGCAGAATCACAAGTAAAATAATCAAACTAATGTTCAAAAGCACTGCATGAGACCAAATCTATAAACTAAACCTTCTAAAACTAATTTAATTCATTCATTTTGAGGGCAGTTAATTACTTTAAATATCACAATATGATATCACGCAGCCCTAAAATGCCTCAGAGCTCATAGTACTGCTTCAACGTCCTCCAAATCTGATCATTTCAGTGTTAATAATATCAATTATTATATGTACCGGACCAAATCTGCAACAAAATACAGGCACTGATTGAAATGCAGGGGTTTATGGGAAAATTGAAATCATTCAAAAATGCCAAAATTCACAACGATGAAATTTATTTCCCTGCTGGATTTGCATCCTCGGGCAAAACCAAAATTATCCCACACATAAACTGGTATTGCAACTGTTTTTCAAACGCTGCACCGCCTGTCCTGTTCCCCTAGCGCCGAATAGCAGTTGAGGGAGAAATAAATCACTTTGCGGTTATTAGTTGCAGTGGTTGGTTAATGCAGCTTAGGGAAGAAAAGGGAGCGCTTGGTTTGATGCAGGGCATCTCTGTGCTAATGCAAACACAGCAGAATCATTGTCACATGAGGCTGAGATCACACAGGGATCTAAATCATGCTTACAAAATGATTTATCGTGCAGCCCTACTCTGTCATACTGTACAGAAACCCTAGTACATCATTCGTGCCACTTTGTCACTTGCTAACACCATCTGGCTACAGTTTTAGGCGATTACTGATAATTTGTAAGGAGTTGCAAGCGAGAGCAGACGTTTACTGCTCCTCTTGTCTGTTCTACGATTTTTCACATCTTCTACATTTTCAAGTCTTTGAACAAATTCTACAACTATTAAAATGCCTCCAAGAGGGAAAAGAGCTAATAAATCAGAAGCGAACGAGGATGTTGAAGCAGAAGAGGATTATATTTCAGCGGCGCAAGTAACAGAG